TTAATATGTAAAAATAACTTTCTTTACCTTGGTTTAGCTTAGCTTTATGCGGTAATAAAAGATTGAGATGAGGAAATGGTCGTTGTTTATTCATTAATGTCCGAATGAAACTAATTGGAAATTGCGTTTGAATAGCTTTTGCGATCAACGGCCGTGAACTTTAAAAGTCACTAAATGCTTCTGGACGCGCAGGACTTGTTCGAGCACATGAGATAAAAAAAACTTAGAGATAGAAGGAATGTTGACTCCTTCATGGGTATACTGCCGGTACGGTATACCCCACACACATTCGAGACGACCAAGTTTCTTGGGTAAAAAGTTTCGTAAATTCCATACCATAAACGCACCGATATCTAGACGAGTCCGTTTCTTGTGTATACGTGACGGCCGATCCATAACCTAAATGCAAAAGTAAGCGATACCGGTTGTTTGCAGAAACGGGCGAAAGAAGAAAGATGACCGAAGCCGCGGGCCTCGGCGCAACACTCTTGTTATAAATTCAACGATTACGGCGGAAAGATAAATTCAGACGCTTTTACCGAGGCCGTAATCGCTCAACTACCAGTCAAGTTGAGTTTATATTAAAACGATACCGTTTCTTTTTTGGGACAATTATAAACCTTTTATATTGCGCTATCTTAAATTCTAGATTTTATAGCTTGCAAATAATGTTGTTTAGGTTGAACGGGCACAAATTATTTTATAACTATTATCTTATAGAAGAAAAAAATGAAAGACCACAAATAACCGTTAATATAAATTTAACTTTATTACTTAGCAAACCGTAAAATACGAAAACCTAACGATAACCAAACCACAGATAAGACATTTATTGTCGCAATCATACAAAATTTCCACCGTGGTCTTTCTCTGTGTGTGCGTCGTATAGTCGTTAAGGTTGCGATCCTCTGTAGGACATCGTAAAACGTTCATGAATTAACCATCTCGTTTGAGCCGAAAGCCATAAAAGACAACAACGCCCTGTGGGGGTCACCCCTCGTACAATGTCTATAATATAGAAATCCGGACTGTCAAAATTTATTGGAATCGTTCGTTATACCTTTCCAATAGGTAGTAGTAGCTCTTTTTCATTGAGGGGGCAGGAATGAATTAAAAAAAAGCTGTTTTAATGGTGGTTACAGCACCTTGGGCGGTTTTAATACAGGGTGTGGCGCGCGATTTATCATACACGATCCAGGTAGAAGAGAAGAGGGTTGAATAATGGAGAGAGGAACGGCGTTAATAGCAAAACGACCCCGGTTCCCGTCAAAACAATATTCGTCCTCGTGAATGATTAAGTGGGCTTCGGGTTTTAACACTTTCATAACTAATTTTAACAGAGTTGCTGGAGATTTTCTGGATTAGAACCGAAGCAACATTAAATTTTACTTAAAAAGTTAAAAAATAATTAGAAAGTTTGAATAAAACCTCTTAAAATAGAGTTACATTGTTCTAAGTAATCATGTACTATTTAAGAAAGGTAATTTGTCGATAGCGTAGGCCAAATAAGCCTCTCTTCTGCCTACGGCTGATTCATTAACGTCATAAAAAAACTCGTGCACCGGCGATTTATTCGGAAATAATGACTACCTGTGCGTCATCCAAAGTGGAGATAGCCCCACTTCGAGGCGCTCATTGTTTGTCCAAGCTCAGCATAACAGACTATGTATATGGTGGAACAATGGAACTCACCTCTTTACCTCCTCCCGCCGTTTCGGTGTCTAACCTGAAGGCTTAATATGGCCTATATAAGTACTATGGATCATTTTATCAATTACCGTTCTTCCGAGACATAATCCGCGAAGCCCACGCAGACGATTATCCGACCAAATTACTCGTAGTAAACACGAGAGAGATTTCGAAATATCGCCAGGCAATCTTCCGTTCTTCTTTTAGTCCGATACAAACCCGTCAAGCGCAGGCCGGTAAAGGGATCCACGCGATGTTTGCGCAGTGTATAGCCTTAGGTTGGACATTCACGATATATAGTAACGAGAGACGAGTACCCTTAGGCTACTGTCAGGGGCAAAAGCAAACCTCTCTTTATATACCCTTAGCTTAATAACTTGAAAAGATGAGGGTGATCTTTTTTAATATTTACATATTAGAAAATGTATTTTATAATAATCATTTTAAGAACAATATTTTTTGATGGATTATGTTATCTAGAGATAAAAATGATCCTTTTCTAAATATGAAAAATTCTTATTAAAAAAATAACACCCATCTTACCGTATCTGCTATCTGTTATCCTTTGGTGTGGCAACTTGCACTTTGATGGTTTGATTATTATAACGGTATTGCGACATTTGGATGGTTGTCTTCCGCTAGTACTGCTGGCATCTCGCGAATACTCGCTTCTACTTCATACATATTTTCTTATTTTGGCATTAAATTGGAAATTTAGTCTCGTATTTAACTTCCACTAATATCCTTTGGTGTGGCAACTTGCACTTTGACGGTTTGATTATTATAACAGTATTACGACATCTGGATGGTTGTCTTCCGCTAGTACTGCTGGCATTTCGCGAATACTCGCTTCTACTTCATACATATTTTCTTATTTTGGCATTAAATTGGAAATTTAGTCTCGTATCTAACTTCCACTAATTTCTCCACTAATTCCTTTTAGGGCATGAATTTCTTGATTTGTCTTTTTTGGCTTTCTTTTAATTTTGTCCCAGTCCTGCTAAAAATGAAAATAAAAATCTTGAAGTGTAGTACAGCAGTTTTTCACTTAATAATTGTAGGCTCTTGAAGGTCCTGCGTATTCTTGTACGTCCGGCTTCGGCTGATTCGATGTGGTGTTTTACTGTAAAAAATGTTGGCATTGCGATCTTCTCTTTGCATCTCCGTAGAAAAGTTAGCTTACTAAATCGTTAATAAGTTTGAAAACTAGAAATTTCTGTATATGCTGAGCGTCTGTTAAACCACTGGTTGACGTTTCAGATTCCATGTTGCATCCTTCTTTAAAAACAAATTCCAAATGGACAAAAACAAGAAGTTTCCAGTTTTATTTCTAATAACACCATCTTGAAAAACTGATACTGTTGAAAGATGTGTATCATTTTAATATAGACATCAAAACGCTACAGTAATACCGTTATGTTATGATGCAAAATAAGATGTTTGTAAGAAAGTGCCAGACAAATATGGAGATGTTTTTATTTTTAAGAACATTATTTATTTTAATTTTCCATACCATAACATCGATTACATCCAGACCATTACTAGATGTCATATTAAGTACTATTCAGTTTAATACTAACATATTATTAATAGTAATTAGGAATAGCATTGGGCCTAGAATCGTGCTCTCGATAATTCCAGAGGTGGGTTTTCAAAACAGGAATTTGTGAGAAAAAAATGTGAAAGTTTCTGAGCACAATCCCATCTGTAAGATTGAAACACCCTACATGGCATATGTCTAACATAATAAGCTTGAGCTTAGCCAATAAATGGCAATAAACTACAATGCCAAAAGTTTTAAGTGCATATAAAATGTTGCCACAATGCATATATACTTTGCTTTTCTACAAAAATGGTGAATCAAGAATAAAATATCATCTTAAGGTTTATCAGAAAATTTAAACGAGAATGAGCAGTACATTTTATCGCTTACAGTCTGGACAGAGTAAGGTCCTGAGTAAAGTTCAAGCATTGCTTAAATAATTTGTTTATTACTTGAGCTGATTTAATTACACTAATCATTATACAACAATAGTTCTAACAATTTAACGAATCGCGGCAACATTCTTCCAGTAATCGTCCTAATTCTAAATAAAAAAGTAGACAACCTTTTATAACACGGTTTTCATGATATATTAATATCTTATATAATAATTCTTTCGGTGTTCATCTTTAACATTCATGACTTTATGGTAAACCTGCTTTCGTCTTCATTCTGAAGACCATCATAATTTGCAGTATAATTTACAGCGTGAGGTGAACGGCCATCGGATTGCTGGTGACTCTGAATGACCATGGAACTAGGAAACTATCTAACTTTCGATCTGTTATTTTTCCTCTATCTCCAGTTACCTTTTCTGGGAATTATTCTTTGGATGTATAACGTTGACAAATAACATCAGATATATTCGTTTCTGCTTAATAAAAGACAATGAATGTTATATGTAGAAGACATATGAAAATAGGTTAATGAAATGATAAAGAATAAAACATCTTTCTGAACTTTAGCTGTACTCAATCCCCACTCCCTGGGGAGCCACGCTATACTTAAAAAAGTAGACCATTCTTATGGTGCAATAATAAGCTATCTAAGTGAATTGTTTACATATTTTCTTGCTGTATGTTATCAGCTACTATTTATTTAAACAAGCAAGAACAAGGACATTTTTGCTTGTTCTTCATCTTTCAACTCAGGTTGAAATCCAAGTCTTCATTTTAAGTTGAAAATGCAGAAATCGTTTAATTATTGTATTAAATATAAATTGTAATATTACATAATTGAAAATATATGTCTATAGAATTTACTCTTATCAAAGCAAATTCTATAGAAATCATTAGACGAATTAAAATGTCTTATACTGGAATGTTGAAAGTATTCAAAATGAGTACTCAACTCCTAATACCACATTATCGATATCTGTTACCTTATAATCTAAGGGTAAATATCACAGATTCCCGGCACTTTACGGAGTTTACAGTAATTGCATAAATTTCTACTTAACCCAACCCATCCTCTACCCACGATTTTACTACACTTTTCTTTGTCCCGTTAGATATCGCTTCGTAATAGTCCTTAATAATAAACTTTCTAAACGTTTAACCCAACTTAATAATTACTTACCGCTCAAGAGAATTTTATTATCATTTTTATGCATAAACTTAGTAATTAATTCAGTTTTTTGTGTTTGATGTCATTAGTGCAAAATACGTTTTAATAGTTCACCCTCTATGATTTCACACTTATACCATTTGCAAACTGGTACTGTAGTAATACTGTTCTCATGGGGTTTTGTCTTCGTTTTGTGTTCCAGCTTGCGAGTGTAACCAGCACGCCAGAAAGTGTACCTTCAATATGGACCTTTACAAGCTGTCTGGTCGAGTTTCTGGCGGCATCTGCAAGAACTGCAGGCACAACACCGCGGGGAGACACTGCCATTACTGCATGGAGGGCTTCTACAGGGACGAGAACAAGCATATGTCGCACAGGAGGGCGTGCAAACGTGAGTAGTTAAACTCGGATCAGAACCTCGAATCGATTTGATTTCCATTTAAAGACTACGACGACTTCCAGTAGTTCATATTTATATTAACGGCAAACGGTTTACGTCCCATTCGGAAATCTAACGGGATTTCTTTTGATTCTTTTATGTTTAGACATTTTACTTCGGTGCAAACGTTAGTAGTTAACACGATCATCTGGTTGTTTGAAATTTGGTGAGAAAATAGATGAAAGGAGTATCTATATTTTTAAAATAGGCGTGGTTACTAAGTCTAAGAATACAGAAAAGTGACTTTTTTATAAATAAAAGTAACGTTAAAAGGCATTTGATGTAATTAAAATGTTGAATTAAAGAAATTAATTTTATAACTATGTAAATGTTAATGTTAATGTAGTAACAATGGAAATAAACGAGTGACACACGATGTGTTAAGTACAAAGGCGTCGACGACGACCGCACCTATGAGGTCACAGATTTCATAACCGTGACATATTAATGCTTTGACACAAAGGGACGATGATTGTTAGTAAACAAACTTGACTTCTGTGTATAAATTACTTTGTAAGTAATGCGCTGTAAGTTATACAAACAAGAACTTAGGTGTAGCAAATTTTTCTGTTTAATTGCAAAAAAGTTACAATAAATCCTTCGAATCCTTCTGGGTCCAGTATCATTACGATCCGAGCGAGTTTAGTTGACTCGAGGGACGTGAGGTCATCAACTAACCCCTATGTTGACCACTCAGCACCCCAATGTTTGGTTACGCCTTATTGCAGTCCGAACCCTGCTATTGCCTGGGTATTCTGGTGAAAAAGAGAACGTGATTTTTTTTTCGTTGAAAGAGTAGACGAACCCAATTAAATCGAGAACAATAAAATGAAAATTTAAACTACGAAACGATACGTTAAACCCGACTAAAGTTTTTATCTCCTATGAGAGCTTAATCAGCGAAAATTTAAACGTCACAGATTTGGCACCAAATTCGCTCACGACTAACGACGTTCGTTAGCTTAAATTGCATTTGGACCGCAATTGAACTTGAAAATGAGCTTCGCCCAAAGCTTACTCGAGATGCAACCGTAGTAATTATGTTATTATAAAGTTTGCCAAAACTATTTATTTAGGAGATAAATCCTTTTATTTATTTTTCGTCAATTCGATCTGGATAAAATTTCCATACAGTACCGCAAAGAACGTATCTTCATAACGACCGTTGATAATAAAAAATAAACATCGTGCAGGTTTCCAGGGGCTACTGCTATATAACGGACCAGTTTTGGGTATCTGAAAATCTCCGGACCCATTCGGGCCGCACAATGCAATCATAAATTATCCAAAAACATGATCTCGCGCCGGTGAAATCCCATTGTAAGGCCTCATAATCTGGAGGCCATTCTCCTCGCACCAGATAATTCGTCGTCCCCGAGACCCCGAGGTGTAACCAATAAAGTTGTCGACCAATTCCGAAACATTCCTTTCTACAAGGAAAATTTAAAAATTAAAAAAAATCAAGTCCTAATTCGTTCTTTTCTTACTCAATTTACCGTCAAAAGCATCAGATCTCTAAACGAAAAGAACGGCGACATTAGCCTTCCAAATGGTTGGACAATCAAATTAAACGAGATCCCAAAAGTCTTTAAGCTAGCGATAAAAATAAAAAGAAAAAAACGGATTTCGCGAAATCTCCTTGAGAGAGAGAGCTGTCTCCTCGGGTGGGCTTAGTTGTAAAATATACTCTCAATTTTGGAGGTCTCGGTTGCGACAAAAGGAACCCCCGAGGTAGACTGTATTTTAATTTACGCGTAAAAGGGCTCCATCTAAAAGGGAATAAAAAATTAGACGTCCCGTCTGGGTATAAAAATAATGGGAGCGCCTCTACCATTCAGTGGCTTAGCTTTTTCTCCTTTCCATTTAGTATCAAAATAAATTTCTTTACTTTTTATTTACTTTTTATTTCTATTTTGAACTTTATTTCCAAATCTTGGGCACAAGTAAATAAGTTAAGTCCGTAAACAAAGTTGTTTGTGTGAAAGTCTTACTGACTTCCTATATTTGCCATCGAATTTCGTTTCCTGGATTGTTATCAAAGTTTTAAAACATCTTTTTAAAATTGGATTTATATTTCAAACTTTAATTGATAGTTTATGATTTTATAACTTTGTAATTCAATTTCCAAATTCTTCATAACAGTTCAATTATTGCCCCACTCTTTGAAAGAGAACGTTGGTCTATTAAGTACCATTTCATTGCAATTAGACCAATATCTTGTCTCGGCAATGGGGAACTAAATGACCGCTTAATGTTCGCAAATGACTTAAGCATCTAGACCAGTTGCTATTGATATAAATCACACTGGGATGGGTTCAAATTGAGTTTCATTCATGAACTGGATATACTACTATAAATAACATCCTGCCGAACGTCGCTTTTAATCGATCAAATTAACGAGATTAATAAAGGAAAGATATGTTTATTTAGACCAAACAAAATCTTAAATGATAATTTTCAACGCGTTGTTTCGTCCCACTCATTTTTCATAATTACCATATATTCTCTTCCATGTTGCGTACATTTATTCCATACCTGGCGAACGACGATTGCAAGTCATACAAAGCGTGGGACGTGTTGAATTTTCTATTCGGCCGTTATTCAAATTGATGACACCGCAAAGGAAAAAAAATCGTAAATCATAAGAGCGTTAACATTCCCGACTCGTCTGCTCTTATTTATTACATTTTACCTGCAATTAGTTGGTGTCGTAAGTTAAAGAGTAGTAGCACGCGCCTTCGGCCCTGGTACGGTACTGCATTACGGCACCACGTTCACGACTACGACGGAACCACCGCACCGCAGCGGCATCCATTACCATAAATGAATAATTAATAGCCGACAATTACAGATGTAAGTAATTAATGGCCGAAAAAGTTTGCCGGGCATAAATTAGAGTCGCAGTCTCTTGACGACGTGTTGCTTGCATTGCTCGGAGAAAGTCAACTGAATTAATTTTTCATCACCTGGCAGGCCAGTATACCGCTCCAGCACTTTATTACCGGAGCAACAGGGTTAATTACTTGTCAACGGAATCATAAAAAATTACAAACGTACGTCTGTCATTCAAAATCTCCACGGATAGGTATACATTAGAATTTATGTTACGTAGTAATGCTTAGAAATTGTGTCATTAATACCATGCATAAGTTACCACTAGTATACGAAATCGGTTATAATCCATTTTAGGAATTATGTATGTACGATTTGAGAGTATCTAAAATAATATCTAAGATTTTTATGCAACATGAAATGAAATATTAATCATCGTAGAAGTTATTTAAATCAAATGAACTTAGTCAGTGTCATCTTGGTGTCCCATAAAATATAAAAGATTTTCAGCACTTCCTAGTGCTTCTTTACAACTGACTTTAGATTCTGGTTCTGAGGCGTCGTCTTCAACGTCATCGTCATTACATTCCTGAAGTGAACTCGGTCCAGGTTACACTATCGACCACCATCAGTGATTCACAAAGTTTTTGAAGTGGGGGACATTTAAAAATGATTGTGGAGACACTATAAATTATGTTACATAATTATGTTATAAAGTTTTTGTGTAACATGCTCAGATTCTTCAGTGTTACCATCAACATCTTGAAACAAAAAATGCATCTGAAAGCAAAAGTGTAAGAAAGCAATATTGTTAAGCATTAAAGTTGCTACAACTACTGTTCTAAATGTTTTTTTATAACATGCTCAGATTGCCCAGTGTAACCATCAGCTACTTGAAAAAACAACGAATTCGTAAAATTTTTATATTTTCGTGGTTTTCTCGATATCTATACGTTTAAGAGCAAAATTGTAACAGCAATATTGTTAAGCATTAAAGTTGCTACAGCTATAGTTCTAAAACTTTTTTTGTAACATGCTCAGATTTCCCAGTGTAACCATCAACAATTTGAAGAAACAACGAATTCGTCAAATTTTCATGTTTTCGTATTTTTTTTTTGATATCTATAGGTCTGAGAGCAAAAGTGTAACACATCAAAATTGTTAAGTATTAAAGTTGCTACAACTATTGTTCTACACGTTTTTTTGTAACATGCTCAGATTCCACAGTGTAACCATCAACTACTTGAAAAAACAACGAATTCGTAATATTTTTAATTTTTATATTTTCGTGGTTTTCTCGATATCTATACGTCTAAGAACAAAATTGTAAGACAGCAATATTGTTAGGCATTAAAGTTGCTACAACTATTGTTCTAAAAGTTTTTTTGTAACATGCCCAGATTTCTCAGTGTAACCATCAACAACTTGAAAAAACAACGAATTCGTCAAATTTTAATATTTTCATATTTTTCTCGATATCTATACGTCTGAGAGCAAAATTGTAAGACAGCAATATTGTTAAGCATTAAAGTTGCTAGAACTATTGTTGTAAATGTTTTTTTGTAACATGCTCAGATTTCCCAGTGTAACCATCAACACCTTGAAAAAATAACGAATTCGTCAAATTTTCATATTTTCGTAATTTTCTCGATATCTATACGTCTAAGAGCAAAAGTGTAAGAGAGCAATATTGTTAAGTATTAAAGTTGCTACAACTATTGTTCTACAAGTTTTTTTGTAACATGCTCAGATTCCCCAGTGTAACCATCAACTACTTGAAAAAACAACAAATTCGTAAAATTTTTATATTTTCGTGGTTTTCTCGATATCTATACGTCTGAGAGCAATATTGTTAAGCATTAAAGTTGCTACAACTATTGTTCTAAAAGTTTTTTTTGTAACATGCTCAGTATAACCATGTTCTTATTTTATAGAAGGTTTCAAAAGCCAATTACTGTCTAATCTAATGTAGCAGCAAATTTCATTGTTAAGTGACAGAAAATTAGAATCCAATTTTTCTTCTAAATTTATTAAATTGTCATGACTGTTTGTTTGCATACAGCTACAATAAGTGATTTCCTAAAATATGAGCTTTCATATTTTTTGCGATCAAGATACTT